CATGTCTGTGTGTGTGGGTACTATTCATTATTCTGACTACCTGTGGGAAGAAACTGTCTCTGAAACGGTGATGCGTGATTTAATGCTTCGGTTGCGTTTCCAGATGGCAGGAGTGAGAATAGTGTGTGGGCTGGATGGCTGGTGTCCTTGATGATGCTTTGGGCTTTCCTTATGCAGCGGGTAATGAAGATATCATAAAGCTGCAGGAGGTCTGTGCCAGTAAATTTGATGCTTTACAGTGTTTTGCTCCAGACCTGTACAGTCAAAACTGCCAAACCATATAGTGTGATGCAGCCTGTCAGGATATACTCTCTATGGTGCAGTGATGAAAGTTAAGCCAAGCCTTGGTTCCCATGACAAATCTTTTGAGACGCCTCACAAACTAAAGTCTTTTTTGTGATTTCCTGAGGAAGCACCTGGTATTATGAAAAAGTTTGTGATGTGTACAGCGGTAAGTTTAGAAATTTGTGAAATATATCCGGGTTGTTTTGGGAGTGTGGATCAGAGGTTACTAGAGAAAGGGAAGACAAGAGAGCATGCAAACAAATATGACCCAAGAGCAATGGGTGATTTCAAGTCTACAGCCACACTAGCAGCTCTGTGAGGCTGCACTGGCACTGTGGTGCTTTGAGCTCAATGTTAATGCATCATGCTAACATGCTCACAATTACAATGCTACCATGCTGATGTTTAGCACGTACAATATTACCATGTTCATCATCTTAGTTTATGGAGTTGGCATGCTAGCGTTTGCTGATCAACTGCTAGTACAGCTGAGGCTCATAGGAAGGTTTTGCTGGTCACAAACCAATGTATTGGAACAGAAAGGTCCGGCACAGTCAGTATTCAATCTCAGGATATTATCCTTAGTGCCATTGGTACAAAAAAACAAAACCTTTATTTAAGTCTGATCAGTGAAATGACCAAAAATTGTCTTTACAACAAGGGCCATTTTCGAAAGAAACATATTATAGGCTTTAGAAATCATGTTAGTCGGCAGTGCTGCTTTGTTCTGTTGCAAGATTCAGTGGGTAGTGAAACTTAATTAATTTGTGAAATGTATTTGTTTTATTTTGTTCTTATAAGTGATGTGTAATGATGTGGAATACACTGTGAGAAACTGACAGGTAAACAGACAGACAGACTCTAAATATCGTTTTCATTGTTCCTCCTACAGTTGAGGCCTTCAGCCTGGGCTGCATGGTCACTGTTTCTAAGAGTGAAATAATTTTTTGCTACTTTGCTAATATTGTTTGTTGTTCAACTACTTTCCTAATTTCCACTACGTCAACTCCAGTTGGCTCCTCTCTCACCTCATGTAGCCATCGTTGTTTATCCTCATTATTATTAACAGCAAACAGCAGACACTCAGCAGTTTTCTCCCGGGTGTGTTTCCTGCCATTGATCAAACAGTAACTCCAGAGGACAGCTGATGAAATGTTTACAGACATGGTGGTTGCCATGGACACCATCATGGTGTTTGCCTGTGCATTTAACACGTAACCTTTTACAAAAATTGATCAGTACCAGATGAGCTTTTGTAACTTACTGGAACATAAAAGCAATTCTGTCTGTGGTTGCACAAGCCACTAGATATTGTTTAACACTGGTTTCATACTAAACACACAAGAACATGAATGTAGAAGAGCACAACATCCTACAAAGGGGCTACCTTCTATCGACTACATCAGAATTTAATAATCACAATATTAATTATCTTCGTCATCTCTTATATTTTCTGCCATGCTCAGGAGAATCTAGAGGGGTGTCTCCTGGTTTTATCTCAGATTGAACACATTCATTTAGATTATTTTAAAAATAATGTGTAAAAAAATATAAACGAATGAAATGATATGTTATGGCCACATTTTAGACTAAGTGAGACTAAGCTTAAATTTAATGGAAAAGGTACACATATGGAAAATTGTCTGAAGATTTTGAAATAAAACAGTTTATTGATTTCTATTGCCACCATATTTCTAATCAGTGCTTCACTATATTGTGCTACAGTAATGAAATGTCTTTCAATTTATCATTTGTTTTTTTTCCCCAAGCAAATATTGAGGTATGTGATGGAATGTGATTAAATCAGCATGTATCTGCCACCCCTTAAAGACTCCATGCCACCCTCTGGCCACCCTCTGAGTATTTCTTTGATCTGCCCCAGGCCACTGAGGTCCTGGTTGGAGAGTAGAGTTACTTAACTCCAGGAGTTCAGAGATGCACAAAATGAACTTTGCTGCCATTTTTCTCGACAGTAAAATTGTCATCACCGTAACTTCTCCCTCCTGTCAATGACAGAATCCCATTGGATACTTGTTGTAGAAGTCAGAGAGCGTAGCATCCTCTCCATGGGAAATAATTGCCTTTTTCTGCACAGTGGTGTGAAAGGGCCTATTGTTACTATCCCTCCAATCAGCCAGTTACGTGAAAGAAATGTAGGATGCCACTTGGCCAACCAAGGGTACACTAGTGCCAAAAGGATGGCCACCACTGGATATTAGTGTTAGAAATATTAAAAGAAACTAACATTTTAGCCACTGAAATAAATGAGAATTTAATTTCTACACTAAGTCCAGTTGTCTTTGACTAATTACTTTCAGTTAGATGTGTTCTAATGAAACAGATGGACAAAGTGTTTGAATTTGCATTAACAGTAAAGAGCAGCTACAGCAAATTAACTACAGCAAATGGGAACTACAATATATCTACTAATAAATGTAGATCTAAAGGATTGTCTCTAATGATACTCTGTGCCAAATAAATGCCCACTTCCCTTCTTAGTTCAGGTTAAATATAGCAACCATTTGAGAATTAGGAGTGTGGAGAGTGAATAGAGAGCTCATAAAATATATTTAAATATGTTGTGTTCTTTCTTACCCCATTGACACCTATATCTATCAGATTTCTTTTAAATCTTAACATTTACTTGACCACAAGCTTGTCTACTGAGGATTTGGAGAAAATATTTTGTTCATCATTATCTCCTGTTGTGTTGGCTTTTAATTGGTGCATCTATTGTAAAAGACAAAAAACAACAACCAATTAGCAAGGGTTATTGAGTTAAGGCTGTGTCTAGAAAATTCACCCATTCATTCAAATGCGCAGTAGTTTACAAGCGTGTGGGCAGTTTTGTTTGTGAAAAGAGTAATTGGTATTATTTGGTCGTCTTTACCTCTCCACACACTGCAATAACAGCCAGAGGCGTGCCAGAGGGTGCTTACTCGGAGCAGTTTCTCATCTGGAGATGCACTGAATGAATCAAAGCACCTGTCGAGTGTTAGACAAAGCCCCATGTCATTCACAGAGGTGTGGCTAATAACACTGTTAGGCTATTCAGGCTCACTTCATTGTGTGTCAGAAAGAGCATTACAGCTGTTCAATACAATCAAACACAGAGCAGTTACTACCCTGGCCCCCAAGAGTAAAAGTATTGACTAGCCAGCTGATTGACAATCACAGACAAACATGACCAATGTTTCCTCAGCTTTGGAGCAAATGAGTTTGCTATGAAATATCATCAGCAAACAAGACTTGATTAATGCATTACTAGTGTTTAATGCAATTAAATGAATCTGCCAGTTGTCGACAATAATAAATAAAAAGAAGAAAATATAGAATATTGCTAGACTTAAATTTTGGTTCCTGTTCCTCCAAGGTGTCAAACCAATTTGTAGGATCGAACCTGTGAATTCACACGTGTATTCACAGGTTTATTTATACATACATCAAAACCATATAAGTGAATCTTAAAGCTCAGGTTGCATAGTGTCTCATAGGCTAATTATTCTAAGATGTGGTCTCCTCTGTGAACAGGGTTCAGAGGTGACAGCCTTTGAACTCTGGACATACTGAGCCCTCAAGCAGTGCTCTTCCTCCTGGACTGTGAAGTACAAAGTTCAATACAGTCAAACTCCCAGACCAGACTAATCTCTGGTACCACAAAACCATTATTCCACATAATGTATTAAAAGTCTGGTCAGATATCTGACATAAAAGGAAAGAAAATCATAGCAATTACACACATGGAAGGAGTGCTTAGATTGCCCAAATTCTCAATACTCTCCAATCTTCTAACCTGTCACCACTGAGGGGCAGACAGGCTAATTATCAGCACAGATATGTTCCAGCTCAGCCATGGCAGCAACCCTGACACTTTTGCTCCCCTGCACTGAACCACAACAGTAACTAATTAGCATAGACACTACCTTTCTGATCAACACAAAGCAGTCTCCCTTGTTTCCAATGACGCACCATGAATTTAAATGAGCCAATCAGCGTATGCATTTCCCCTGGTATCGAGTTCACAAAGTCTTTGATTGAGATTCTGCTGCACAGCAATACAGCAGAAAGTTTAGCTGCCACGCAGTCCACTGTGGCCAAGAAGGGTGAGCCTCTTGTGACTCATACTATGGATTCATTGAAGTCTGGCGATCAGGATAATTGTTGATTCTCATAGTTTGATAAACATTAATTCACCAGCTTAAGAATGCATATTTTAGGCTTATTATTGAAAAAAATTAAAAACAAACAAACAGAAAAGGGTTTTTAATTTTAACTTTATTTTAAATATTGCAAGCACTTCTAGTGCTTATTTAAGAAATCAGGATGCAGCAGAAACTTTTACTTTAAAAATCCATTTGCAGTGCAATCATTCTGTAGATTCATAGTTTTTAATTACTTAGAGGACTGCAGCTGATTAGCAGCATAATCAGCAGCTCTTTTGCATTTTCTCCCCGTGTTTCTCTTCATTTTCTGATAGCATATTCTGTACTGTCCTTGCCATGAGAGGACCTTGTTCACTGTATTCTGCTGTGAATGTTGAATGTGAATATATACATATAATGTAGATATAATACTGCTTGCTGCAGGAAATAGAACAAAGTTTAAAGCATGGGCACATCAACTGAGAGTTAAAACACACATTTTACTTCTGTTCAAAAATGTTGATATTTTTTAACAAAAAATTCTTATTTTTCTGTGTCTTTTTTCACAACCAGCTGTTACAGGGAAAGTCCATTCCTAAACTGGGGTCACTCGACCAGATTGAAACAGGAAGTGGCGACGCAGAGGGACGTTATAGTGGCGACTGTGATGATGAGGACGGTTGTGGTGGTTCAGGTGGTGGCGAGAATAAGAGGAAAGTCTCCAGAGTCTCCAAATGTAAGTCTCATCTTTTTATAATTTTATTGAACAATTAACCAATTAACCATATAAAGACATCGTTACCCAGCAGTCATTACCCATTGCCCTAAGGAGGTAAATAGAAAGACAGTAGAAAGAATATAACATCAGACGTCAGAACAAGCATTTATATTATATATATATATTATTATATATAGGATGGAGTGTAAGGATTTAAATTTAGATTGCATTTATTGTATTTTTAACTTTTATTTGTATTAATGGTATTTGTAGTGTTTTTGTCTAACTACCTAATGGCTGCAGATGAAAAGTGGCTTAAACTCGTGCCAAAGCTCTTCTCTTTGTGTGAAGTTATGTTTTTTTGTATATAAACCCTAACAAATAAATGTAATAAACTAAACTAAACATAAAACATACTTAAAATGAATAAGATACGATAGGAGGAGAATAATAAAGGTTCACAAAGCACATCAGATCAAAACAATGAAGCAAGATTGATAAAATAACAGCAATAAATACGCAATAACAAGTTATACATTTGCATTTACATTACATTTACATGCGTTAAATTGTGCCTTTTACCCTTCTACCTTTTTAAAGTTGCAGAATTAGTTTTTGATCAGTGAAGACTATATTTTAATAAGACTTGCTCCAGTCTTCATTTTATGACAGCCATAATAATAGTCATTAAAGATAATAGTTGCTATGGGGACATTATTGCAATCATGGCCCGTTACTTTAAAAATGATGGCTCCCCAGAGGATCAGTAACCCCTGATGAATCACAGTGTTGGAGCTCTCCTCTTCATTCTACTACCTTTCACACTCTCCTCTCCTCTCCTCTCAGCACATGGATTCTTCCTCTCCTCTCTCCTCTACTCTCCATCAAACATGCTAACAACCTGATTAATCACCTCTCTCATTTTGCCTACGGCGACAGCAAGGAAGGGGGAGGGGTCATCCAAACAAGCCGTTCAATCCGTGTAAATGTTTCCTTTACTGCTTGTCAGTCTGTCTAGAGGCTTTTGCAGCTCAGGCTCAGGGAAGCTGCTTAACAATCGCTCATCTGAGGCTGTAGGGAGGCTTTGACATTTATCACCCATTACAGTAGAGCCGCCCTTTCCTTGTCATAGGCCAGATCAGCCTGTCTCCCATATTTATGACCCAGTGTCTGTTGTGACCTCTGTCGAGCATGTGTCCTGCTGCCTGACCCTCGCACAAATACTGAGGATTCCCCACCTGATCCAAAACTCTCTGGTCAGTCCCTGTAGTATTGTGCTGTTTTTTGCATTTATTGCTACAAAAAATTTTTTAGTGGCAGTTTGGTGTAGGTATTTTTCTGTGGGTTTTATTGTTATAATATAATTTAATTAATCCATAGAATTTGCAAGCCAAGGACTCAGCAGCATTAAAAACATAATGTTTTATTGCTCTCTCTTAGCAGATTGAAAGTACAGCAAATCCTAAATTTTTTTTAAAATCATACTGGAGGAAAATACTGCACTGGGCTACAGTCTTAATTGAACCTTACCTTAAAAACAAATAAAATCAGTCCATCTAATTTTTGTCTTCATCTGTAGGCACAGTTTAAATAGAAAGTATAATACAGGAGGTTTAATCCAAAACACCTCTTCAACCTGTAGGAGTGAATAAAGGTCACAGATAAACTCAACCCACTGTCCTCTGAATCATACTTCATCGTCATTGTTTGTAACCAACATAGACATGGAACACCTTCAGACACTAACTGGTGTATGACCCAGGTTAATACACACATGTTAAACCCCTATATGACCAATTCTATGAGACTCTTAGTTGCCAATAAACACTTGGTCATTGCCATTTGCATTGCCAAGACTCTGCCTGCTAATGTAAGTTTTTGTATATATCTGCTAAGGGTTGATAAGAGATACATTTATGGCTGAGAGGAGTCAAAATTGGCACAAATATCTGTTACACAGATAGCAATTCTGTATTGCCAAATAATCATCCTCTATTCAGGTCAGTCAACTTACATGGAATGGATTAGTATGTGAATATTGCATGTGTACAACATTGATATTTGGTGTCTGACCTTGTCACATGCCACAATAAAGCACCAAGCTCAGCACAGCTAGGAGAAGGGAGTGTTGATAACTTTGCCCTCAAGGGAGCATAGGTTGCCGGTATGCTCCTTCAGAAATGCTTGTTAGATGGTCAAATGGCTATGGAAAGCACCTTCCTCCACACCTTTCCGACACTGGGAAGCTGTGTGTGACTGTTTCTGTAACTTTCCACATTGGATAATTTAACATTCACACCTACTTCATGCCATCATTGGCCAGCTGTGCAGAGGTGAGAAAGTAAGCCGGGTTTGATGTTTTCTTTCATGTATAAACGATGCAGTTTGTCGTAATTTAGAGGAATTCTCTGGAGGTTCATGTCTCTCTACTTCTCTGACAAGCTCATATTAGGTAAAACTTGACCTCTTGAGAATGGCAGCCAATCAAAACTGATAAGCTGTGACCCTAACATTGATGGAAAACTTGAGGTCTTTGATTCAGTATGAAATAGATATTGATGAGATTCAATGCACTGAGCAAAATGACACAACGAAATTGCTTATGATTCCTCAAGAAGGAGGCAACCTCAACAGGGTTTTCTTTTAAATAAAAGCATTATCTGAGGTCAGAAGTTGCCTGATGCTAAATAACACAGAAGTTCATTTGCAACAGCAGACAGCTCAAATTGCAGGGGGAGGATTTCCTCTATATGGGATGCATTGTGATCATCACGTTTGTTTAGATCAGACAAGCAAGTGGTGCAAATCTGCATCAGCTGCACTGAGCTGTTGCCAAATGCTTTGACAGTCAATACATTAACTTTGTTTTCCATGGGTGGAAAATTTAATTAATTTAGCTTTATTTGTTGCTAGAAATACAATGAGAGTTCTTAAAAGTTACATCTCACTGTAGCAACAGAGTTGATAAATTGGCTACCATGAGGTGAAATCACAGTGGTGGTGATACACTTTTAATGAACTGTGTTAGTTTTTATTTCAGTCTGTGTGCAAAAACTTCGAGACAGAAATATAATATTAAATACAACTACAGAACCAGAAACAAATGTGGCCACAGAACTGGGGAAAAAAAATCCATGGAGGTGAGATCAAAACCAAAGTGCTAATAACATCTCACCAAGCTGATGATCAACACACAGGGATGAACAGAGATTTAAATAACACTGTCACTGTGGAGTTCTTCAGTGAATGAAATCACAAGAAGACTGAGAGAGAAGTGTTGAGAAACAAAGTGAGAAAAATATCTGATGTGGTGGTTTGTGTTCTGATATTTTTCATAGTGTCTATACAGTCTGGGTTTTTAAATCCCAGACTATATAGAAAGGATAAGCTGCCATTTTATGACAAGCATACCAGTCTGTCATAGTAAACTGAGTACAGTGATATTGCTATCTCAGTGCCAGATACTTAGACACCATGTATAATTTAATTTGATTTCTTTCTATGCAATTATCCATAATCCCTTTCCTTTCTGTCTTTGATGTTTATCAGCAGAACATGGTGACGATAGATCGGGATGATAAGGAAATAAAATGGTAGAAGCTCAATACAGACAATACAAGCCTGATTTAAGGGATTATCCTCATTAAGCAGAATTGCTGTTATGCGAGAATGATGTGTATGTGACAAGAAGCAACAATATGAGAAGTTCATCCTTCAGAAATATTTCAAGGATTTTTGACTGTATAGAAATTGTACTAGGGTAGTATTTATTTTATTGCACTCCAGATCGCTGAACTACCCGATGTAGTCACTGTCTTTGTAAAAATATGATTAGGCTGGTAGGTTTTATTTTTTTTTGTGGGAATTACTGAAAGCACACAGCAAAAATGGAAAAAGATGGATTCATTTAATCTTTCTCACAGTTCATTGGGTAACACCAACTAAAGAAGACCAATATGCACTGAAGCATGTATCCAGGATCTATCATGCATTATCTTCACACATCAGGTCTTATTTTTTCCGTTCTTACAGACCTGCGCATTGGTTCAACAAACACACGTCCTACTTTTAATTTTAATAAAATAAATAAAATAAACATTTAACACTGATGAGAACTAGCACCTCAATGTCTAACCTATTGTAAGATCACAGAGTTGTGTATTGCAGCCCGTTAAAGTACATGTAAAGCATCATTACCAGGATGGAAATGACTAATTATAATAGACATAATTGGAATACTAATTAAGAAAAGCTATAATGTATCCCATGTCTGTAGAGCTCTATTGGTGTGGCTGTGTGTTACACTCCTTGTATGTACATATTACAAAAATTCAGAACCCTTAACCATTTTACACTCCAAATCACAGCGAGAAAAGAAATTGTGTGATATCCAGAACTTAATTTTAGTAAATAAGTTGAAGCCAACTGGTCTCAAGTAGTTCAGATTAGACGTTTCTCTGCTGGGGCCCTACTTTATGATTGAGCCTAATGACATAATTATACACCTGGTTTAATCACATAAAAAACTTAGCTCAGCTTTGAATATAATAAATCCAGTTTTGCCATTTCAGCTATGGTAATCATGACACAGTTGTGAGATAAAAAAAACAAGAGTACCGCCATGCTGTAGTGAGGCTATGCTCAAGCTCAGTGCTGCTTTGGGCTAACATGCTCACAATGACAATGCTACCATGTAGATGTTATCAATGTTAAAGGTATAATCTTTGCCATGTCAACTATATTAGTTTAGCATGTTATGTTGTTAACATTTGCTATTTATTACTAAACACAATGGTGCTACAGCTGAGTATGAGGGGAATGTCATTCATTTTGCAGGTATGTTCTCATAAAGCGAAGTATTGGATGAATTAGAATTTTTACCTGATGGTGGCGCTAGATGAAAAGCAAACAAACAAATGTCTGTACAAAATTAAATTGCAGTCCATCCAATAGTATTATATAATATATTTCAGTCTGTACTAAAACGGGGGACCACTTGACTGATATTGCTATCCCTA